ATCTAAAGGATTAGGTTGTGAAACGTTAATAGATTTAGTCAAAGGTACATAGTGTGTTCTTAAAATTTCGATTATGATTACGGCATTCCTCTTCACAATTTGAATTTTGAGAACATAGCAAATAAAACATTGTGCATCGTGTCCCATACGCTTCGGGTATAGGATCGATTGCAAATGCTTTAATGTTTGACCATTCTTAAATTTTCCAAATGTCTAGCGCATTTAGAGGGAAAAGGGACTAGAATCGGTTTTGACTAAAATAATTAAACAACTCAATCCAAAGTTCGATGAGGATTGGTTGCTTGTGAGTAGTTGGAAGCATGGTATTGGATGGACCATATTGACATTATTATGAATAGATAAGATTCTATTAAGAATAAGTTGTCATATGGAAAATATGGAAGCGTGTCCATATTGGGGAGTAAATATTGAAAATCTATGACTAGATTAGAAACTTTTATGCAAAAGGATGTTCAAAGGAATGTACTTTGAGTGAGAGACATCATATCTAAGGAATTGTCTTGTAACAATCTCCGATAGAAGATTTTTTAATATCATTGGCAATAGTCTTTGATGCAGTGACATTACGAAAGAATCATTGCATAGGATGTTAGAATCTAGCATATTCTATAAGTAGCAAGAATTTGTTATTCTTAAACTTATGACAATGGATTTGGAGTTATGAAATGAGAATGATTGGAAATGTGTGCAATTTGTCTATTCCACAAAAGTAAGAACCATAGGTAAACATTGTGTGCATGCTAGGAGCATGGGACAAGTGTAATAATTCAAGTAAGAAGTTGATTACCCGAAACGACAAATAATGAGTAATCGATATGGTGATAAATAAAAGGTGTTTTATTTATGCTCAAAGGGTTGAGGCCATATGGGATTAGTATTATTCTTGTGTTTCACATTTGCATGTTTTGACTTCCAGAATAATTGAGTTTATTAAGAATAATCGAATTATTCGAACGGGCCACAGTCATTCATATGTTGGAAGTAGATATGAATGAAGATTGTCGTGAATTGGTGTGTGGATTGTCTAGAAGAGTATTAGACATAAGCAAATGTTTGCTGTAACGTTCATGAGTGGTTACGAATATGATTTGAGCATTGGATTAAACCCACGCTCACTTGGATCACTCCATGAATTGTATTACGAGTAATTGGTGAGACGATAACATCTTATATTCTTGAAACTGAGATGTGTGAGTTGTATCTTGCTAATCGGTTGCACATTGATAATATGTAAACGCACTAGTAACTTGGTGTTATAAAACATATTGTTTTGTGTGATTTGGTTAGTGAGTGCAAGCAAGCATTGTATCAAAGTTTATCCATTCCTTTTATTCAAAGTAGGATAAAAGCGATATCTTTGGGCCCCTCGATGGTTTAGTGATAACAAACGTAAATGCTCGGTCGGGCTAGGGCTAATTTGATTTGTTCAATTAGTCTATCGTCATAAATCGGAAATCGATATATAGTACAAAGAGAATGATTAAAATCATATCTCATATGATATCTAGAATGGAGGAATATATGATCCCTTATCTAAGGACACGCGTAACTGATATGATCAGAGTTGACAGCGGCTTTGGAAAGCTACGATTGCAGATCAGGATCTGAAGTCATACGCATAATAGTTATTAGACTTATCCAAGTGGGAGACTGTTGGATTAGTGTCTAAGTCCATAACTATTTTAGTATGTACTTGACCCGATGGTGCATGGTCCTTTTGGGTTGCCTTCACCAAAGCAACTTGATTGGAGAAATAAATAAAGAGAGAAAGGTTATTATGATTTATTAATATGTTATAAGAATAATATATTAAAGGAGAAATCATATTTTTTTAATTAATATTGGTCAATAATTAATTAGGAATTAATTTTGTGATCAAGTGTAATTAATTAAACTAGAGGGGCTGATTTGTAATTATGTGATAGTTACAAAATAAGGTAAGGATTATATTATTATTAGGTTGGACGAATTTAAGGTGATAAGGCCTTAGAATTCGACCATGATAAGGATTCAAGGATTATCTTATGGGTTGCTTTGTGGATAAGCAACTAGATAAGGATAATGACTGAAACCCTATCTCTACACCTATATAAACACCCCTTGGCTCATGAATTCGGGTATCCCTTCCCAAGGAGTCCTAAGGATGAATTCTAACCTCTCTCCTCTCTCTTTATACCTTCTCCATTTTCTCTTGGTGTTTGTAAGCCATTAGAGGAGTGACACTTGTGACTCTAAGCATTCCAAAGTCAATTCAAGGAGGAATTAGGATTGTTATTACTCTATGACAACCAAGGTATGTTCTTAAACCCATTCATATTTTAATATCAATTTCATATACTAGAATTACGGTTTATAGTCTTGGATTCAAATCATGTACAATAGAGAAGCCTAGATCCAAGCATTAGGGTTTGTATGAGCACATAGGATGTCTTATGACCAAAACCCATCAGTATCGCCTCCTGTATTATAAGTACATCTCTAATTAATACCTTCCTGACTTAGTTTGACTAACACTATTAAGTTAACTCTAGTCAACCCTAGTTAACGGTCAACTTTTGACCCAACTCGTCGAGTCTTGTATAGACTCGTCGAGTCCATACATGAACTCAAGTCCTTTGAATCCCTTCTTACTCACCGAGTTACTCACCCAACTCGGTGAGTCACCCACTGATCTGAATCATGGGACAACCTGCTCTGACTCGTCGAGTCTGCTCATGGACTTGGCGAGTTCGTTTCATGTACAACCTCAAACAACCTTCTGAGGTCAGATCTATTCCTCTAATCGTTAGATCTAACCTTTCCAAGCTCAATAATCACGTAAAGTCTCTATTTTGATGTACATGCAACATCTATATGACCATATATGATGATTTAGCCCCAAATACCACAACCCAAGGTCATAACCTCCATTGCTCTCCATAAAGTTTGATGAGTGAGGCTATCTGGACCTCTATGGATCCAGATCCAAAGCCTCATCATCAGAAAGGGACTATTGGACGTCAAATCAACCTAACAAAGAGCACAAGAAACCCTAATCCATATATATATATATACTTCATAAAACAAAAGATGAGCTGAAATAATACCTCAAATGCGATGATCTTAGCTTCAAATCAACAGAATAACAACCTCCTTTTCTTCCTCTTGGCTAGGACCTCCTTCTTCTTGCTAAACAAAACCACAAAGGTCAAGAATGGCTTCCTTTCTCTCTCAAAACGCTCAAGCAATCTAGGGTTTCTCTCTATGGAATGGTCGCCGCAAATTAAGGCCATAAGGGCCTTTAAATAGGTCCCAAACCCGAGAAATTAGGGTTTCTTTCATCAGCTCTAACTCGGCGAGCTGCTCCCCTGACTCATCGAGTCCCCTCATTAACCATATAATCCAGTTGCGAGCAGAATCGACGAGTTTGAGCGCCAACTCGTTAAGTCACCCTACATAAATAAAGAATTGCAACTTAAATCAATATACCTGGGAAAGTGGGTGTTACAAACTCACCCTGCGTTGAATTCTCACCACCCCTTACACTCTCAAACATGAAAGATCCCAACCATCTTGAATTCCATTAATCCAATGAACTTCCTATTGGGTTAAAAATATGGTTTATGCTTTACTTTTTTTAAGCATTTATTCATTTTAATTTTGGGCCGAAAATATTATTTGGTTTAATTGTAGCTTGAACCGAAAACTGATGGGTTTTCGGTTTCGACCTTGGGTTGTAGTCCATTAGTATAAATATAGATGTAAAGGTGAGGAGTAGAGATCGGTCATAGATTTAGAAAGGGTCGGGGGGGTGGGCTAAGTGTGTGTAATTCAAGGTGTTCTAGAGAGAGAAAGTGACAGAGAAGAAGGGTGTGTATATGTATGTGTGAATCTTGTGTTGGAACATCATTCTAATCATATAAACATTGAAGATTCTTCAAGTTCATCATCATCTTCTTCTTCTCCTTCTTCTACATTTGATCTTGCATCATCCACTTGATTGGGATTCCGCACCATCAAGTGGATCCGATTGATACATCAAGCAAAATTTTGGACTTACAGTTGGTATCAGAGCTTGGGTTGTATCAATCAAATTGGATAGATCTTAAGCATTTTTGCACTTTTTCTTTAAGGATTTTGCATGTTTAGATAGTTTTTGACAAAATAGTTGGGGTTTGTTCTTCGTGTTTCTCATAAAAACGAGTTTTTGATCTAGTTTTGGAGCAAAAAGGGGTGAAAAACGTTCTTTTTCACGTAATCTGCAAGTGGCTTACGGCCGAAGAAGGATTTACTGCCGAAGAAGGGTTTACTGCTAAAGAAGGGTTTACGTTCGGCTTCGGATCTTTACGACCCAACTCGTTTGCGGTACTCGGATAGTTCTCGGCCAGCAGGTGTTCGGCCCATGATAGTTTGGGGTCCACACCTCCTTTTTGGTCCCCTCGGATCTTCTACCCAGCAGGTGTCCAGCACGTGTTCGGTCCAAGTGTCTTCATTGCAAGGCTCTAGCACAAGCAAGCTTGCGCAGTAACAAATATATGAAGAAATTAGGGAGTGCAAGGTTTCGAACCCGGGTCTCTTGCCTCCCGAACCAATGGCCTTGCCAACTCATCTACCATGCGAGACGTTTAACACCTTTCCTTTTTAATTCAAGAAGCTTTGCTATTTCGACGTTAATTTTGGAATTTTGACAATTTTAGCCCAAAATTAAAGTTTTCAAATTTTAAAGTTTCAATTTCAAGTCAAAATTTTGGTTTTTAATTTTTTACTATCATTTTTGACTTTTGACCTTAAAATTTTTTACTTTGATTTTCACGTTTGACCTTTGACTTTTTCGTTTAACTTTCAAAATTTCAAGTTTAGCCTTTCGGTTTAACTTTTTATGTTTGACTTTTCAAGATTGACTTTTTAAACTTGACTTATAAGGTTGACTTTGTCGGTTTATAGTCAAAGGGCATTCTTAGTAAACAATGAATTCCGCAAACATTCCAGTCAATGAAGTTTCATGCTCTCAATCTTGTGGTGGTCGATTGTTGAGTACCAACCGCGAAAAGTATGGTAGCACTACTCTCTTCATAACAAGCTGTTGTGAAGGCTTTTGACAAATGAACTAGAGGAGGAACATGAACATAATTTGATAAAGTATTAGCCAATAGTGAGTGTCTCAAGAATTCTATCAGTGGTTGAAGAAAGGCGTCATACTTCAATAGATCAAGATCCAATATCATATTTTGGTTATCCTTGATTTCAAGAAGCCCTGATGTTGCAGATTGATCAGTGCTAAAAGGAGTTTCTGATGATGTAGCCATTGAAATCGACAAAGAAGATGATGAACGGTCATGAGAGAAAAAAGGGTTTTTCTTGCACTTGATAATCTTTGAAATCTTTAGAAGTGTTAATGGAGTTACATCGACGATTTTCCTTTTATACGTCAGTGTAAGAGATAGAAAGCCAGGTGGTAACTCTTCATTTTCCATGAAAAAGCGCCTGAAAAAGCGTGTGTGATAGGCATGATGTCAGGCGACGTAACTGACAAGGCGTGATGTCAGCACTTTTTGAAAACACGCACCCAAATCGATTCTTATCCCTTAAAGACCACGTTTTCTATTGTGCCCATTCGTAATAGATCTCCATTACCTATTCTCCGAATATGAAAGTAACTGTTAGAACTGCAAACCAGACTATTGAAAATCACAAGGATCTTCGTGCAAGAGTGTGCCAAAGATAAAGAAATAAAGCGAGTTATCAAAGTGTGACAACCCGAAACTTTTATTCTGTATGATTGGTCAATTTTATCAATATTAAGCTCGATTCCATTACCTTTTAACGCCATTTAAGGGTTCGTTTAAGTTTTCTAAGCCCGAGTACAGATGGGAATGATATTAGGAATGAGTCAACAAGTCATTCAGGGTCAAAACCGGGCCATACACCCTCTTGGGAGGTGTGTACGGCCGCACAGACGGGTGTGCGGCCGCACATCCACCTCTAGCCGCACACTCACCCCTATATATAGAGGGTGACCCCTTCATTCATTCTTTTCCCTCTTTGGCTGCACACTACTTTCTCTCTCTAGAAACTTCATCCAAGAACAGTCCAAAGGCCTAAAAAACATGAAGTATTCCATCATCTAACTTGTTATACTTGTAAGATATCTTGATCTAAGCCTAAATTCTTCATGTTCTTCATTCCTCGAAGGTGTACGACCACACACCTTCATAAGGTGGCTATACACACCTTAAAGACTCTCCAAAGTGAGATTTTGGCCCCCATCTAGTAGCTTGAAAATTGTATTAACCTTGAATCACCTGAAAATCGATGTTTTGAGCATAAATGAAGAGTGTACGTCCGCACACCCCTATGTACGGCCGCACACACACTCTGTACATCCGCACACTCCAAAGTACGACCGCACACACACTTTTATGGCCTTACACCCACTTTAATGCTCATATTTGCCCTTAAACTTGCAAAAAACACTAAGTATGGGACCTAGAACACTCCTTCGATGCTTGTAGTACCTTGGAATCATCTCAAAAGCACTCCCCATCATAAGTGTACAGCCGCACACTCATGGGCCGTACAACCATTGCCGTACACACCCAAAGGGTGGCCTTACACCTCCCTCATTCGATCATATATGGTTCCGACACTTAGTTCAAGCATTTCCAAGTCCTTAGGGAGGTTTCTCATCATGTTTAGTCATTGAATACTAATAAATATATATATGTTACTATATGTTAATAGGATCCACTTGATTACGAAACATCAGTTGACACTCAGCACTCATACCGATCGTACACTCGAATCCTACGTTAAACAGTGAGTTCATACCCCTACGCTTTTTCCGAGTTTTTCATGTATTCAGGGAGGAATACAAGCAAAACTACAAGGAAACATGTGCTCAAAGTATATTATTTTTTGATATAATTATATGTTCAGTATGCTTTTAACACATAAAATAGTTTTACCAAACGATTAAGAAATCAACTCATAGAAACAGTTTTCAAAACTAAAGCAATGAACTCGTGAATCATATCGTAAAAATTGTTATTTTATAAAGGATTCATGCAAATCATAAACAAGATTTTCAGTATTATTACTTGTAAATTGTTAGTCTAAAGTTGGAGACACGTCCTTGGTAACACCCCCACAGAATCAGTGTGTAGGATTAGCACTTGTAACCATAATCTCTTAGAGGGAGAATGTGACTATTGTGTATAGATCTATACGAGACCGACTATCCTGCACCTTACTGCTATCTACAGTTGGACCAACAGGTTCAGGGGTGACAAAGTCATAAAAAGATATCGCCCTCGTTACGTGCCATATCAATTTTAAGTACGGTTATGACACTCGCAACCTAGATAACGGTAATTTACTTTTGTAATAATGAAACAAGTGAAATAACCTCAAAGTAATAACTAATTTGATTACTATAGGGTATAAAAAATACCCTTAGGATTTAGTTCACCACGTATTTATTAGTTTAATTTATGTAATAAGGCTAATACACATCACATGGAGAAAACAAGGTTTTTCAAGCTAACTACATCTAACGATATAAGTATGGGAGATACTTGTACACCTCAGACTAGAACAGTTAACCAACCATCAAATTTTAAAGGAAAATATGGGATTTTCCCGGAATAACTCGATTTCTTATAAACAGATTTTCAACAAGTAAGTAATGGATGTTCAAACATACTTTCCATAAGAAAATATTGGATTTTTTTGGGAAACATTTTTCAAATGATCAAAGAAATATTTTTCACCAAAACTAAATACTTATGAACTCACCAGCTTTATGTTGATACTCTTTCAAACTGCTTGTGGCAACAATAGACAGGTACTCTTGCAAACTTTTAGAGAAGACCGAATATTTTGGAGTCATGTCTTTTAGTTTTGTTATATAATGTTGTGTACAAACTATGTTTTCAAACAGATGTAAATAATCATATAGTAATGTAATGGTTGTGTTTACTTTGATTGCTATGATACGATTGTTGTGATACTACGCATGACGTCACCCGCCCCCGGACGTTTCCACCATTGTTTTCTGATGGTTCGGGGGTTTGACAGATTGGTATTAGAGCTATTGTTTATAGTGAACTAAGTATACCGAACATTACATGGTATACAACTATAAACATTAGGGGGATGAAGTGCTCTGAACTAAAAGTATACTTCTAAAATATAAGTATTTGTACAAAAAGTATACAAGTATACCTACATACCAGAAGCAATATCATAAGTAGAACCAAACAAAAGTATTTGGATGTCGGAAACTGCAGTTAAACCTGGACAATTATGTAATCACGTCTAGGGTCAATATAGCCTAATCAACTATATTCATTCGAGACATGACCAACATGTGCTTGGGAGTGACTGTGGTGTTGCAGCAAGCCTAAAACTTACCAAGTATTCCTACCACAATATATGGATACAACAAAGCATTCAACATATAATACTATAGGTGTATTTTAGCCAGAACCAAATACATTGTAGAGTTTCATTCCAAGTGTTGCTACTCATTCTTTCTTAGAAATAGTTTGCTTGCATTAGTAATTCTTCCTTGTTTATCGCTTAGTAGAACACTTTATCTATTAGATAGAGATATACCTTGTTTCATATCTCTTGATTCTAAAGTCAAAGGGACTTCTCATCTTCTTCTTCATGATATAGAACAAGATGGCTCCAAAGAAAAGACCCAATAAAAAGAACAACAATTCCTCAACGGATCCAACACCACCACCACCTCCTCAATTCAATCCCGTCATGTTTCAGGCAGTTGTTACTGCCGTTGTGACTGCCACTTTGTGATAGATTAACCCTAGCGGCTCTGGTGGTTCCGGGAGTGGTATTCATTCCCAAAATGATGAAGGTAGTCAAGGGCACCAGAAGGAGTGCTCCTATAAAGACTTCATGAACACAAAACCCACATCCTTCGACGACAATGGAGGTGTTATTTCCCAAACTCAATGGTTCGAGAAGATCGAGTCTATCTTCGAAATTTGCTCTTTTATGGATACCGACAAGGTGAAATTCACCGCTTGCACTTTCACCAATAGAGTGTTGACTTGGTGCAATAGTCAGTTCAAATCCCTAACCCTGCCAGTAGAAATGCTATGGGTTTGGAGAGCTTAAAGGAGCTCATGCTCGCTGAGTATTGCGCACGGGGCGAGATGCAGAAACCGGAGCACGAACTGTGGAACCTAAAGATGAAAGGTTCCGATATCACTACCTACACCACTAGATTTCGTGATCTGGCTCTCCTCAGTCTAGGAATGGTCACCCCGGAGAGCAAGAAAATAGAGAGGTACATATGGGGACTAACACAACCAACCAAGGGAAACATCTTAGCTGCTTGGATAGCTACATTTGATAGTGCCAAGTGTCTGGCATAGACTTTGATCGATCATGAAGTCGATCTCGATGAAGTAACAACTGTTCCTGAACCACAGAAAGAGGGTGGTGGGAAGAAGAAAGGTTGGAACAAGCTCAAGGGCCAGTCCTCTCAAGAGCCCTCCAAGAAACAACAAATTGTTGCAGTCCACACTGCTACTACTCCTGCTACAGTCCCCCATTACTCCAACAAGCCCTAGTTGCTATGCTGGGAAAGTACCTCTATGCAACAAGTGCAACTACCACCATCAGGGATAGTATCGGGAAATGTCATGCACCAGCTGTGGCAAAAAGGGGCACATAGCTCGAGTTTGCAAGGCAATAGTCCAACCAACCAATCAGGCATCTGGAGCGGGTGTCGATCAAGCTTTTTACGGTTGTGGTGAGGTCGGACACTACAAGAGAAACTGAACCAAATCAACAATAGATGGCAACACAGGAAGGGCGTTGGCAATGGGCCAGGAGGAAGCGGTCGTTGATCCCACAGTTGTTTAGGGTACGTTCCTCCACAACAACTCCTATGCATGCATTCTTTTCAATTTTGGTGAGGAGAGAAGTTTTGTTAGTCATACATTCAAAAATCTTCTCAAACATAAACTACAATCTTTAACTAAAACATTTAACGTCAAGATGGATAACGACAAGAAAGAGAACACTAATGACATATTCCTAGGCTGCACCCTTACCCTAAACGGTCATTCCTTTCCCATCGACCTTATGCCAGTTTCCATAAAAAGATTTGATGTTATCATTGGCATGGTTTGGTTGAGCCTCAATCGTGTTGATATCCTTTGTTACGAAAAAACCTATTCGTCTCAATCTTCCCTTTGGAGAAACCCTCATGATTTATGGTGTTAAACTCAACTCCAACCTTCGCATCATTTCGTGAATCAAAGCCCAAAAACTTCTACGAAAGGAGTGTCATGCATTCTTAGCCCATGTTGTTAATTAGAAACATGAAGTTAAAGACCTCGAGAGCATCCCCGAACTCTACAACTTCCCTGATATCTTTCCTGAAGAACTTATGGGAATCCCTCGTGAGCGCCAACTCGAGTTTCGCATCGACTTAAACTCC